AATATACATGCTAGACAGTCGGTCACTCGAGATGTCTTGACAAGAGTCCTGTTCCAGCATGGCCATACGAATATCTTTACGAGGACATGAATAAACGGACTGAAGCAATTATTCCAGTGAACACACTTTACTTTGGGGGTTGGGCTCAACGTTACAAAGAGAACAACGACAGACTGATACGTGCCAACCACGCGCATGACGCTGATCGCTGTGGCCCGTGAATGACTTATGACTCTATACCGCTGATCACACGACAAGAAAACATATCCAACCGGGATGAAGGGTGGTATTAGTGCGCAAAGATTGGGTATACTCGACTAACGCCAGGCGCGCCTGACCACAACAATCAAATTACATCGCCCGCGATGCATGCACAATATAGACCTTCAGCTTGCACTCTAAAAACACCAGATTAATACTTGTCTCTTGGACCCAAAGCACTCTTCAGCACATCGAAAACCGCATAAAGCGTCCCTCCAATCGTCGGCCGATGCGTATCAACCCGCTTCAATGACCTCTCACTGTCACGACGCTCATACCTATGCCTCCCACCTTTCTCTCCATGACTCCGGCGGCGATAGTCCCGGTCAAATCCGTCGTCGGAAGACCTTTTAGGGTGATGGCTTCGATGTGAGCGATGAGAGTCCCGAGACTTCCGGCTGTCGTGGGACCTACGACTGTCGTGGGAGCGTTTGGAGTATGTCGAGCCGTGGCTTTGCTTTCTGGGCGTCATGCTGCAGCGGGGTTGTTGCTGAACGACGGCGTCGGCGTCTGAGAGGGGGTAAGGTGGGACGCCGGAGACCGGAGGGGTGGCGTAGGCTGCGCTGGTGGGTTTGAGGGTTGCGGTGGGTAGTGGTCGAGCGTGGGGAGGGCGCCTGTTGACGGGTGGCAGGGTGGTGGGCGGGGCTGGTTTGCCGTAGGCGTAGGGGTAGCCTAAGGTGGGTGGGTTGGTTTGAGCGTTGGGGGGTGGGTAACTGTCTGGGCGGTAGCGCTGGGAGGCGGAGGAGGATTGGCGGGAGCGATTGTGTGGTGAAGCTTGGTATTGCTCTGCAGCGTACGCAGCCATTGTTTTTCAATGCGAGTCTTCGCCAAAGGCAGGGATGTCGGGGTTCTAAGAAATGTTGTATGCTCAGAAGGCTGTAGTGTTATAGTGCTCCGATCTGACGCTTTCCGGGAGGGTGGCGCAGCGGCTCTTGTTTACAGCTGTGTACAGCCTGTCCTGCGAGGCTGAGATAAGGCAGTGTACAAAAGCAGGAGGGACGTCTCCTGATTTGAGGCCGCCGGTGAACCTGTTCACATTGAAAGGTCCGGTGAAAAGTCAAGGTACAGACAAGATCCCCTTGCTGGTGAAATTAGGGAAGGATGGAGGTAAGACGCGGTTGATGGATGAATATTGGATTTCAAGGCGAAACAATTTCTTGCCTACATTGTATCATTCTGAGCACGCTACACTGTTGAGTCTTAGCTCTGACAGGCAAATCGCTGTTACTGCCGCCTTAGCGACGGGCATGCAGGATCGGCGGAGTGGGCTGGCGCGCATGTCGCGAAGCAAAGTCGAAGATCGGAGTGTTGATTGAGCCTTGAGGTCTGATATCATTCCTGTCATTGGCTGAAACGACGGCTGAAAGACGACTCTCGAGGATCCCTGCCAAGTGGTGCACGCTGCTGCGGACAGCCGTCGCGATGGCGGAGCAAAATGCCTCGCGATTCCTGCTGCAGGGCCGTGCTCATAGCCTTATACACTATACAGGATGATCAAGATCAGAGATCGTGGGATAGCAAACATGCGGCCGCAACATCATGTGAAGGTGATGTACGGTGGCTGAAGTGACACCGGTGAAAGGGGCAACAAGGCGAAATGATGCGGTGCATGTTCACCAAGGCTCATGTTGTGCGGGCGCTCACTTCCATTCGCCTGGTTGCCCGGTTGGGTGCAGCAAGGCGAAGCGTGAACTTCGTGGGGTTTCGATCTGCGGCATCACCGCATAAGACAAGGTAATGTAGGTAAGGTATGTACTGAAAGGTAACTCACTGCGGCGAAAGGGCCGAAGCAGAGCCGCGACACTTCTGTAGCATTGGGTACCTGTCTACCTACGTACGTTATGTTGTAGCAGTCGTCGGTCGAATGGACACCCGTCATATACCAATTGCTGCTAGTAGACGTGCTCGTGCGTGTACGACGTTATCCCCATGTCATCCATCCACCTGCCGGGTCCTCGGGATGACCTGCGAACTGACCAAGCGATGAAGGTTGCGTAACCCACGCAGATCATGGGCGATGACAGCCTCAAAGCCCTGGCGACCTGGCGGTGCGCCTGACCTCCCACTGTACAGCCTTGATGCAACCGATTGAAGGCAATGGAAGCCGTGGCGAAGATAAATAGCCACCTACTGCGTCTTCGCCATGCCCTCAGCCTTCATGTATGTGTTCATACCTCGGACATGTCTTCCCTCATTGCGTTTGACCTCACCATTCAAGTTAGTACTCTCAATGCATTTGTGATCAAGTCGGAGCAGGCATCTGTCGCACGCAAGGTCTTTGTTGTCGTGAAGGGGGAAGAGGGGAGAGCACATTGGATCATCTACCTTCTAGAAGAAAGTGACAATGCATCGAGTAAATTCGTATCGTCCGCTCTCAAGCTCTGGCGATGAGGCGAGAAGTAGTTTGCTCCAGAGGCTCCAGCAGCAGACTGATCTCAATGTGCAATTGAAAGTCTAGGCGAGCTCAAATATGTTTCCATTGCGGGAGATATACTGGAAGACCAGTACGAGGTGGACACGGTCGTGTCGTCCCTTGCGACATCACGACAGCGACAGCTGCCACCGGCTTCGGCAGCGAACAAGCTTCAGCACTGCCCCGCCACCTGATGGCAGGCGACTCTTGGCTGACATCGCGAACTCATGAGGCGCAGTTGCTTTTGAAGGCGAGCACCTGCAGTCCACTCATAGTAGCGACCCCTTCTCAGATCGTTAAGTCTACTTAGCTACCTTCATTCCAGTATCTCATAAGGCAGCTTCCCATCTTGGTCGTCATTTCTCGAAATCAAGAAGAGAAGCCCCAACTCGCCTGGAACTCTAGATACACAACAATGTCGTACTACAATCAAGGCCCGCCAGGGTATCAGCAACCCCGTAAGTCAATACAAGGACAATGTCAGGCGTTCCGCATCGCTGCTTTCTCCCATTCTTTGAGAACAGACAAGGTTCGCAGCTCGAGTAGAGACCAGGCCCAAGGCTGACAAGTACACAGACTCGCCTTATCCGCCACAACAAGGCGGCTATCCTCCGCCTCAGCAACCTTATGGACAACAAGGCCACTTTCAGCCGCCCCCTGGCCCGCCGATGAATCAAGGCTACCCGCCACAGGGTGGCTACGGTGCTCCCCCTGGTCCTCCTCCTGGTCGCGCTCCTTACGGACAGCCGCCGCCTGGGCAATATGGCCAGTCCCACGCCCCGCCTCCCGGGCCCCCTCCAGGCCAGTACGGTGCTCCACCTCAAGGCCCTCCCCCAGGACAGTACGGAGCTCCTCCTCCCGGTCAGTACGGTGGCCCCCCTCCCGGCCAGTATGGCGGAGGGCCGCCGGCAGCGCCTACCCCACCATCGCCAGGCTACGTTCCCGGCCAGATGCCACACACGGACATGCGCCAAGCCGCCGATGAGTTGAGGCGCGCCATGAAGGGGTTCGGCACGGACGAGAAGGCGCTTATCCGTGTCCTCGGCTCTTTAGGGCCCCTAGAGATCAACGGCGTAAAAGCGGCTTTCCACTCTCAGCACCGCCGCGACCTTGTCAAAGACGTGCACGGCGAAACCTCTGGCCACTTCCGCGAGGGCCTTGAGGCGATTCTACGCGGACCGCTTGAGCAGGACTGCTACGCTGTACACGAGTCGATCAAAGGCTTGGGAACGAAAGAGAGCGCGATGAACGATGTCCTCCTGTCACGCACCAACGCAGATCTCAATGCTATTAAAGTGCACTACCAACACATGTACCGCAAGTCGCTCGAATCCGACGTCAAAGGCGATCTGTCGATGAAGACGGAAAGACTATTCGACATGGTCATGGCAGCACGACGCAACGAAGAGTCGGCCCCGATTATCCCGCAACAAATCGACGCCGACATCAACGAGCTATATCACGCGACCGAAGGCAAGAAAGGCACAGACGAGTTGACCGTCTGCAGCATCCTATCTTCTCGCTCCAACGGCCAGATAAGAGCCATCGCACACGGCTACCACCAAAAATATCATCGCTCTCTAGAAGAAGTAATTAAAAGCGAATTCTCCGGCCACATGGTAAGTACCTTCCCAGAATCATCGCGATTTCCTCTGTCCGAACGTCCTCACCTAACCATCCTGCATGAAACAGCGCGACGCCCTCCTCTACATGGTCTACAATGCCTCAGACCCCGCCAAACACGACGCCGACCTCCTCGAAGACGCCATGCAAGGCCTCGGCACCAACGACCAAGCGCTCATCCGCCGCGTAGTCTTCATCCACTGGTCGCGCGACCGCCTCCACCAAGCCAAATCCGCCTACCGCCACTTCTACAAGCGCGAGCTCGCGGACCGTATCAAGGGGGAGACGAGCGGCGATTATGAGAAGTTGATGCTGGCATGTGTAGGCGTACCTCCGGCGTTTGGGCGCTAGAACTGACTTCTTTTGTGCTATTAGATACTCGAATGAGTATGCGGCGTTCTTGGCGTGCTGGAAGAGACAGAGACGGAGATACCCGCAAGGGAGGACTTTTGCTTAGTCTAGCAGCGTTTTGATGCTATGGGATGTGGAAATACTCTGTTCGTCTCTATATCAGGCAAATTTCATTCCATCCCCTAAATTCTGTTCTTGGTTGCGAAGACATGTTCCACGGCTGGAGTCGGGACTTGAAGCGCCGAACTCGGGCGACTTTCCTGAAAAAAGCACTGGGATATATTCAACAAAGCGGTCACACGTGACCAGGTGACAACGCTTGTCAGATCGACGGCGCAGTCTATAGTTCCGGGGCCTCTTGGCGCAGTGGTAGCGTATCTGATTCCAGTGAGTTACACTTTGAATCTCCAGATGGTCGTCCGTTCGAATCGGGCAGAGGTCAGATCTTTTTTGAGGTGGTTGCCTCTTCGCCTTACTGGTAGTAGGCATTTGCTAGTCCGTTCTTTTTGCACCCAAACAAAAGTTTCCGTCGGGGGCCGAAAATAGTTGAAATGATCGCTCGAACAGAAGTTTTCGTCGGCCACCGAAAATATTCATCGCCGGGGGGGGGG